TCGTGTAATCTATCCACAAGAAAGCCTTTGCTGGGTCTCGAGAAACAAAATTATTCTGGATGGAGTCGCGCGCACAAACACGTTTGGCCCTTTTTGCCGCGGGATGTTTCACTTCCTGCGCATGCGGCAGGGAAGTCCCTGCTCCCCGGACTTAATCTTCCGAGCACCACGCCGGCCAATCGCTCCAGCGCTCGCGCACACAGACGGGTTCGGGAGAGAAACGGCGCCGTTCCCGCGGCATTCTCGCTTGCCCGCTGGATTTCGGTGCTTTTCTTCAATCTCCGTGTGATCCAGCGACCCTCAATAAAAAAATTAATAAGACGGTAGACTCGAGATTGTACGCGCTAATCGCGGGGGAGGACGGCCGTGGATAATTAAACCTAAAAAATATCACCGTTTTCTGTGCATCTCCACTAACATAGGTATAAATTATGTTTAAGTTAAGAAAATTTTGTGAGTTAATGAACAATAATTTGTAGTGAAGAATGCATTGATCTTGTTTTATTACAAAAGTCCTTGCAAAAACACATACTGATCGGATGAATCGCTCAAAATGAAGCACAACTGACCATTTCGATTGTTACTCTTTTGATTTAAAACGAACACAAACGATCGACGATTTATCGATGCGCGTGCTCAGTGATAGTAACACTTTCATAATCAACGTTTTTGGGTTAGATCGCGTTATTATAAATGTGTCGTAACCCTCCACCACCTGACAAAAAGACAAATAGTTCACTACTTTAGCCCACCGGTGTGTTGAAGTGTGAAACCACAACATTTACAATTTTTGAGTAGTACGACGTTTCGCTGGTAATTACGTCCAGCATCATCGGGCAATTCGCCAGAATGGTGAGGCTCTGCTTTTGCCCTCGCTCTTAAATAGAGCAGCAGCAGCAGGGTGACGTCATCATTTAACTCATCAGGTGCAACGATTCGAGGGGGAGGGGGGGGGGGATTATTGTAATTATATACTAGATTAGTAATCACCACAGCCAAGACTCAGCAGCAGAGCCACGCCAATCAACAGCAATCAAACTCCGCCACCCACTGTTGTAAAGATATTGCAACTACTGTACTGTAGAGGCGATCACGTGGAGTTTCGGATGAAGTGGAGCAACATAGTTTAAGCACGTGACTTGTAATGAACATTTCCAAAAATAACAATGTATCACCGCTTTTAGATGATTCATTTGAGCTTGAGGGAAAATCCACGAGTCGATAATGTATGTCAACACCTCAGGTGCGTGCGGTTAATCCGCAAATCGGATGAACGGCACGTGGACACATCGAGAGTCTCCTGTAGTTTGTTTTTAATGGCGGGACCCCTTCTTTATTTACACAAAGGGCCATCTCGCAGCAGCGCTCTACACGCGATTAGCGACTTGCATCTCAAACATTTGCATGAGTTTCACCCCGTGACCCCCCCCCCGCTCTACCTACCCGCCCCCCCATCCAGTAGAGGGCCATCCATTTAGTACGTACACATGGAGGGGGAGTCTACTGACAATGTACGTACGCATAGGAAACGGGGGGGGGGGGGTTGGAGCCTCGATAATAATTTGTCTACATCGGCCTTCAAATAAGTTAGATAGTCCGGCGATGGACTATCTGTTTGCTTAAACACGTTCATATTATTAATCCTTGATCGTTTCTGCGTGGATTAAATCTCGGCCGTTCTATAGGATTCGGGGGGGGGGGGGGGGTGCGTCAGGCGAACGTACGCAGGTGGGGGGGGGGGGGTGTAAAAAGTATTCGTGCGTATAGGGAGGGGGTAGGGGTCAAGTTTTGATCAATTTTTTGCGTACGGACTAAATGGATGGCCCCTAGCTGCCAATGCATCTCCTGTGCGTGTCCCGAGCGATGTCGGACTTGGCACTCCGGTACCAAGTGCCAACGCCAGCCCAGGGCTCTCTGTCCCCCCGCGTCGTGTTTTCTGTAACCCGCCTGCCAGTGCGCGTGTGAGCACAACGGGCAGCCGTGCCACACTCCTCTAGCGCGCGGGACGCTCTCTCTGTCTCTCTCTCTGTCTCTCTCTCTGTCTCTCTCTGTCTCTCTGTCTCTGTGTCTCTCTCTCTGTCTTTCTCTCGCGGCGACGACGACCCCCCTTCGTCAGCGCTAAGCGACGTCGTCCCTGTCTTCCCCCCGCAGGCCTCCGCAGGCCGACGTCACCGCCAGGGGCAATGAAGGCCAGTCGGCGCGGCTCCACCGCCGGCCTCACGCTCCGGGCCGCGCTGGCGATTATCGCCGCCCTCCTGCCCTCGTGCCCCACCGCCGTCGCCACGCCGTTCTCGCCCGACGTGGAGCTGCAGAAGATGGTGCTGGAGCCGAACTCGGGCGCGCTCATCGTGGCCGGCGACAACACGCTGTTCCGGCTGGCGCCCGACCTGAGCGTGGAGCGCACCGAGGAACTCTGCTGCTCCCCCTCCTCCTCCTCCGCCTCCGCCGCCGACTGCCCCAGCATCACCTGTTCGGGCGGCGGCTCCGGCCAGCCCTGCCGCAACCCCGTGATCATGCTGACGCTGCTGCCCGGCGCCGCCGAGCAGCTGGTGGTGTGCGGAAACGCGACGTGCGGGCCGCTGGAGGCGGGCGCGTGCGAGGTGCGCTCGTCCGCCAACCTGTCGCGGGCGCCCCACTCGGACGCCAAGTACTGCACCTACAGGTACACCAAGGTGGCCGGCGAGCAGAGCGCCGCCGTGGCCGTGGCGGCGCCCGGCGGCGCGGGCAATGTCCTCTATGGGCCTGGGCCACGCCAACTCGTTCAGGGGCCACCCGCTGTCCATGCAGGACCTCAAGGGCAACGTGCTGTGCCGCATGGACCACGCCTCCATGGCGCTGTGCAACCCGTACGGGCTGTACGAGCACCTGTTCGTGGCGGCCTTGGCCACCGAGAGCCACGCCTTCTTCGTGTTCCGGCGGAGGAACGGCACGAGCAAGGCGGTGGCCGGCGCGAGCCACCCGTACCTCACCTACGTGGGCCGCCTGTGCCTCGACGACGTCAACTACTACTCCTACGTGGAGGTGCCCCTGCGGTGCGAGGGCCGTCCCGGCGGCGGGCCCGAGAGGCTCGCGAGCGCCGCGTGGCTCGGCGAGCCGGGGCCCGCCTTGGCGGGAGGGGGGGCCACCCTGGTGGTCGCGTTCGTCGACGCGGGCGGCAGG